GACATATGGTGCCCGCTGCCTCATTTCAGTAGCTTCTTATCCTTAGTCAAAGCAATTTAGCGTCCTATGGTCGGTGCCCATGGTCTCTCTGTGTCAGTGATCTCAAGGTATTTAGGCATGGGCATTCATCAAATTTTCTTTAGCGTACGCCGCTAGATAATGCTATTTGAAGACGCCCATTACCGCCGAAAGCCCAAAAAGTCACCGCCTCAGCTATGTTCAGCGAACCTTCAGGCTGCCAGAGCATGAGTTTAAGAACATCATTTCTTTCCCGTCGCGTCACGACCGGTATATGGTTCGTGTCGCGAAGGTCTTCTGGAAAGTTGGACGGAAGTAGTACATTAGGCACGGAAGATGCTCTGGTTTTCTATCTATAAAGAACCTATATGTCATCAAGGATTTCATAACTACCCGTAAGTACCTTTCTGGTCGGATCTCAAAAGCCATAGGTTTTGTCAAGCTTCCCATTCTGATTAGGTCATTTAGGTAGCTAAAAATAAGCAGTACTACATCACCCCGAGGAGATTCTTGCTTCCAATGGCGATCCCACACATCACGTGGCAGAAGCACTAATAATTATCTACTCTCACAGGTCACACCAAAATAAAATATAAAGTCAAATTCTTTAAAAACGCGGAGTTCGCCTAGCCCCCATGAAAAATAAGCTCTTCATAATGCATGTATAAGCATAACTTACGACTTCGTCCAAAGAAGACATGTCCACAACCCAACTGTTATCTTTAGGCTTGAGGGCTTGGCCTCCTCTTCCCGTTTGGACACACCACGACGCTCGGCAGCCAGTTCTGCATCGATTTGCTTCTCAAGGTGCACTATCTCCAGCACGTCTATCCCGAATTTCGCCACTTCCAACAGGCAGACAATCACGCTGCGCAGATTCTTCCTTGATACCAAGTCCTCCGTCTCAAAGAGGATGCTGTCGGGAAATCCTACCGATCGACACCATTTTAGGAAGCTGCCTATATTTTCCCGTACCCAGAAGGGAACACCCGCCCGGCTTCGTGGTCCAACTTCCCGTGAATGATATTTTGGCGGCCAATGGGAAGGAAAGCCTTAACACTGGCAACACGGACCCCATGTAGTCGTCGCTTGCCACTCTCCTTAAAGCCTGACCTACTCTCAATCATGCGCTGGTGTAGCTAAGATGCGTACTGGCACAGCAGTATGCCGCCGGATATTTTGTCAAAGAAATTGTCGCCTTTCAGATCGCCGGCAAGATCCGGGAAGAGATGAGACGCCCACTGGGCGAGATCCTCGGCAATTGCCGCCGAAAATTCGTCCTGCGTTCCCATGGCCTGGGCCTCGGGAGTAGATGTAGGCACACTTGGTGATATCTTTACCCGTTTGTTGAGAATGTGCAAGTAGAGAACAAAATTTGGGTCAACTACGGCCGTGGGACAGCAGTTGATGTGGCGACCACTACGCTCGTCAGTCACTGCCTTCGATGTCTATGCGAATATTTATTGAACATCGATCGTGAGAAATTCGTTTGTCTGTTTGTCGGTTCTAAAGTCGGTGTCACGAGGTATCCTTCACTCGATTAAGGACTGTGCGTTTGTGAGAACTTCAGGAAGACATAAGTATCATTTCGGAGATCAAAGACGGCGAGTGCGCTCTCGGTTTGCGCCATGTGACTAATAAAAGCCACTCGCCCGTTGGTGACGCGTAACTTTGGCAAATGTGGCGAAATAAACCCCCGCTATTCTGCCTATATGAAAGTAGCTGGTCATATTACTTATGAAAGAACCTTCCATTGCATTGTCAGCTTTTTTGCTTTTTGCTACATAACCCACTAAAGTGTGTCCCTCACCTGCTGCACAAAAAACAGCCTAGGTTGTTTGTTAATTAAATTAAAGCTGTTCAAGCGGTATTATTCGAAAATGGAAATATGCATCGTTTTCCCGCGAGAAAGTGACTACTTTAACATGCAGAGAGAGATGGAGAGAGTAGATAGGCCTGAAACACACGCCTAGAGAGGCGTGAGCAGCCAAAGGGAATTATTTCTAACCGAGTATTGATTTGGGTTTTCGAGTTACGTTGGGCGGTCAACACCGTTGTTCGGAGGTCTTAAATACGCTTCAAAGTTATTTAAGATTAATCACTGGTATTTTGGTGGATTCGCTTTCAGTACAAGTATCCTTAAAACCGTCCGATTTGTTTTTACATAAACTGGCCACTCAATGAAGTCGACTTTATGAAATTTGACTACGGTATAATAAGGAACGATTATATGCAGGTTAGTCGGACCGAACAAACCTTGATGAATATGAAGCAACAAATATTAAACTGTTACTCAACTTTTGATGAAAATGTAAAAATTTTCCAAAGACCGCCAGGTATTTCGGTGCTTGATGGTCTTGGCCTGTTCCCCTTGACTTCGTTGGCTGCCTTCCAATTCGTTGACACAGCGCGATCTTTATTTCCGTTTCCTTATTTAGCACTCCCCCACGCCCTCTGTTCCCCGCCTCGTGCCGTTAATCGCCCTTTGTATTTTGATCCCCGCTGCGTGTATTTATTCCATTATAACCTGGCAGCAAAGCCTCTGCGTCATTCACACGAATGCTCGCCCAAGCACCTCAAATGTGTGTCCACCTTCTTTTTGATTTTTAGGTCACATTTTTTCCTATCGTGCACTGTTAATCTTAATGTTTATTTTTATAGCATTGCACCATATCCCAGTTATCCCGACAGTCTTTTGACACACAAAGCATATCCTAATTATTCCGACTGTCCAGAATAAGACATAGTTTCTGATCCCGGGATAGTCCATTCAGTTGAAAAAAGTAGCACGATGTAGAAAGAAGGCTCGTCGGAAAATGGAGTTTTACTGCTGAATTTTCGAGCTGGTGACACTAGCTCTCCGTCAGACGGAACTGAAGTTGTGGTTATGGCGAATGCAAAACATACGTTTGTTTTCGATAAATTCTCGTCAGACCTTTGAAGAAGAAGAAGAATGCTATATTGAGGATTTTACAAACCTGAA